ACACACACACACACACACACACACACACACACACACACACACACACAGAATCCCCCACCCCCCACCAAAGGAACATATTTAATTAACTTCTGGCAAGAGCTTAACCGATTTAAAATGATTTTACAATAAATCTGCAAAGCCTGAACCATATGCAGTGCTTGCACACAGTGCTCTACTACATATTTTTTTATGACATAGATCTAAATAGAGGAGATAGACAAATCCCTAGTGTATATTCTATAAAGTTAATTCTGCACAGATGAAGCTGTAATTGACTCCCGTATTAACCAAAAGTAGGGAGATCAAGCAGGGTAGGTTAAACAATAAAATGGCAATGCTGATTAAAAAAAAGAAAGCTTCCCAAGAATTTCATGAACGAGTATTTGTATTTCTCTCTCTTTGAGAAGCCTTTGTGCCTGTACCCACAAGCACTTTTTAGTCTCTGATCTCTGTATAGTATTAAAATAACCTTGTGCTGCTTACAGAATTGTAGATGAGGCAGAGTAAATAAGGTGTATTTTAGTGCGTTGTGTAAAGCTAGTTTATTGACACAGTTACCTAGTTTCCTAGTTTGCTCTAAACATATTTGCTTTGGTAGGTTTTGTACCTCCCTGCATCAGTCAGAATTTCCATTTAGCCTTTTTCATGTTTATTCTTTACACAGGCTGAACAGAATTCAATACTACAGACGGAACACAGCACACAGGTTAAGCACCCTTTATCCTTAAATGAAACTGAGGATGAGAAGCATTATTTTTATACTCCCCCTGAAGTGCAAGCTTTTTAACCCTCCACTTTTGCAAGACCTTTTTGTCACTCACTTTCTCCCATGAGATGCTGATCCTGTTAATAGAAGGAAGGGATTGGTGATATTAGTACATGCTTACAATCCACTGGCATGCTCTTCCCAAGCACTTCTAGTTAATGTAGAGGAAATACCTCTTTTGCTGGCTTAGTATATGCCTTTTCTTTCAAGAAAATGTATTACACTGCCTGAAATCACTGGAATTCCACTCTGAAGTTGGCTAAAGAAAAGCTCTAATTAAACTTCTTTTGCATAGTTTTGCTTTTACTTTTGGCTGAAATGAAGAGCTCAGATGTTTACAAGAGATCTCAAAAATCACCAGACACAAATTTTTCCCCTCACTTGGGAAAATTTAGATTTAGCTCAGTTTGCTTGTGTTCCAGTTCATGTTTCCTTAGTTGTTCTTACGCATTACAAGGAATCTCGTAACTAGCCCAGTGTGTCAATGCCACAATCCTGACGTGCATGCTGCTATTCTGAGCAACTGCCTTAGGAGAGGATTTGTTTTAGGTGAATTAAGAAACCAAGATCACATACAGGAAATTATCTCCAATTCTTTTCCAGGAATGACAGAACAATAGGATACTTCATTTTAGCACCAGCTTTCATTTGCACCAGTCCTAATCAAATTTTTAGGTTTTAAAATAAGGAAAGGCCATCTGAAATTTAAGGTAAAATAAGCACAGTCTGAATTTTCCTCACCATTATCTCTGGGCATAAAAGGCTTCCATTCAGGACAACTCGTTGGGAACACACAGCAGCTACATGGACAGGACAAGCCTTGCATTTTCTTCTGTCTGGCAGATAAGCATGTTTCACGTGCCTGCCATACTCAGTGCTCCATAAGCACTAAGGTGGCCAATGCTCTCATGAAAGTAGGAAAGCAGCTTCCATTGGGACAGTGTTGGCTACAGCATGGACAAGCAGCTGCAGGAACTGTCACACCAGAGCTTGTGAAAAGGGAACAAAGACCCTACCATGGTTACCCCCCTTTCTCATCCCCGTGCCTCACAACCAAGAGCTCTGACCTGTCCAAGTCAAGACCACCAAGCCTTGTGTCTCTTCCCTGATCTATGGCTTCAGGAAGGAGAAGTGGCTGGGAGACCCAGCTCAGAAACTCAGTCTTCAGCAAACACAGCAAACAGAATGATCTCTGTTGTGATTCTCCTTTTATGCCAGGTGCATTTTCACCTGTACTGCTAGCTTCCTTTCTGCAAAGTGTTTTCTTACCTTCTGTCCCAGACTTTCCCCTGCTTCTTCTCTGACCTTTATCTTATCCTACTTTCATTGAATCTGCTTGGTCTTCTCTTGCGTTTGTCCCTACCAACTAGTAAGGGGCTTTTTTATCATGTTTTTTGCAAGTTGTGGATCCTTCCCTGTGAACACTGCATCTTAGCATCTTTTTGCCCATTTGAGCTGTGAGCTCTGGGGGCAAAGATATGCATGCTATGTTTGTCCAGCACAGAGGAGAGCATGGACCTTAGACACCTTCCCACAAATAAATTACTACCTATATTTTCAATCGGTGTCAGAGTTGAGTGTAATTTACAGCATAAAATTACTGTGCAGGGAGCCAAAGCCATGTCTCTAAAATCTTTGTGCTTGAGCAAACCTTCACCTTGCCAGGGCAAAGACCTCCTTTGGAAGTTCCTGGCTCCAGGTGCCATCCCTGGGGCACTATATCCATATGGGACCAGGTACGGCATGAGAGGTCTCTGACTTGCTACCTCCCTGAGAGCAGACAATTCTGCAGGGTAGTGGGAGTACACAGACCCACCTGAGCTGTTGTCACTTTTCAAGATCTGGTGAACTCCCTCTGAGGACTTTTATGTGACTAGCCAAGAGAACATGATGATATTGTTCAGCATGTCCTCCTCTCCCCAAAAGCACAGATTGATCATCAGACAACCGAGAGGGAAAAAACACCACCAAAACTGATCATGCGGTGCCAAGTTGCATAGCTTTGGTCCAGGGTAGGCACAACTAGAAAGGAAGAAACAGGATGCTTAGCTGGAACATCACCCATTGACCCTTCCTCAAAATCACCTAGAAGTATGAGTTTGCCTGAAGGCAGCCTCTGAAATATGTGGTTGGATATAACAGTTGAAAACCAACCTCAGAAAAGGAAAAAGCAATGCTGGATGTGTCTGTGGATTTAGAGACCCCAGCTCAGAAGGACCCTTCAATTCCCTCCTTGCTAAAACCATCTGAAAGTATTTGGCAGACAGATGTCCACTGCCTTGAAACTTTCAAAACAAATTTCTGTGAAGTGATAGGTCACTAGAGAGCTGCTGTGGCCTACATAACCTGAAGTAAGCTCTAAAAGTAAACTCTACTGTCATCTGAAATTTCTATCATTAAGTTAATCAAAAATGTCCATTCATTTCTACAGGAATACAATATGAGTTAATAAATCCACAGAGACAGGCTAGTCAAGAGACTGTGCATATAGGACATGTCAGAGAAACTGAAGTTAGCAATGATCTAGATTCACAAGGGCTGACAAGAAACCACAAAATGCCACAGCAGTGTACAGTAATCCTTAAATGAAATTCATCTTTCAGCAGAAAAACACATTAAGGATGGTAATTCAATGATAAAAGAGGCAGGCCAGAACAGGTTCAAATGCTGAATATTTCACAACATAACTTAATTAAAGCGGGAGTGTGAGGCTGTTAATCACTTTATAATAGTTCAGCTTGAAATGAGGTCTGATGCGAATGCCCTTATAGTTTATTTGTTTATATTATTATAATCACAAAATGTTACATGACCTAATGCAAATGTCCAGTTTTCACTGGCTTTTATTATGTTGGGTTTTTTCCTCCTTTTGATCGTCCTATCTTTGTGCAAGTATGTGAAGGGAAGAACTGCGAGGAAGGGTCATAAATTTAGGTCAGATCAGATGATTCAGTAAGTCTCATGTGGTTTTAAGTCTTATTAATAATTTTAATACATTCTTCCTTGACAACAATTATTTCAATCACTGCTCCTTTAACGTACACTGTGACATAAGAATACACAGGTTTTTAAAAGAATGGAACACGCTTCTCATGCAAAGAAGGTAAATTATGTCAACCCTTTGAAAATTACAGTACATAACCTAGAACAAAAGACAAAAATATATATTTAAGTAAAAATACAAATTTACTTTGTTGTATAACTATATCATGCCATACCAAGTGTATAGAAATATAGTATTGAAGTAGAACACAATAACATTTTAAACCCAAATATATTAATAAATGCATATTTATAAATATATTACACACTTGAGGCACAGCCAATTAATATTAATATTTCCAACATCAGGGTACAGAAAATGCCATGCTAGTGCATAAAAGGTACTATGACGTTTTTTATCATTTGACAGTTTTTGTGCAAGAAGAAAGGAAAAAATATTTCCTCAGATTTTCTGAGCTAAAGTGGGAATGAGAAGTCTGACTTTTAGTGTCTTATAAAGAGGCAGCAACATAAAAACTTCTTTTTAAAAAGTTGAGAAATATACGTGGCTGTCCAAACACTTGATTATGATTAGTACTGATTTTTTACTGCTTGCAACATTATTATTAGCAATTTCATATGAATCAATTCTAGATTCATGCATTTCAAAATGTATTAAAAAATTGTTTGAAAACATCATTCAAAGAAAATGCATAAAATGAGCAATATGGACCAAACTGACCAGTTGAGAATGGGTGAAACTGAGAGCTGGTCATGACAAATAATTAGCAGAAGTTACAAACTGTTGCCTTCAGGCAAAAGGGCAGAAGTGTTGAAATCATTGGGAAAAAAAAAAGACATCAAATGTCGAGGGTGCTGTATTTACTTCAGGTAACTTTCATAAACATGGTAAGTACATTTTCTGTGGTAAGAGTTGTAAATATGGGAATTAATATCCTGGAGGCAATCTTTGTTAAACCAGTGTAGCTCTACAATTAAAAAAAACAAAAGCTGGCTAGTGCTAACCTCCAGGGGAAGCACAGCATCCCTTAAGCATTTCAAACCCCATCTCTGACATGCTGTTGCTAAAAACCTTGCCAGCAACTCTGGGAAAAGAAGAATTTACATGGAAATGTCTAAAAACACGCTTCCTGCCTGTGTCAA